TTGGGCATGGACTCCCACCATCCTGGGGGGCTAACATGGGAGAATCCAAGTCTGAGTGCAGCCTAGGCAAATCAGTGGCTTAGTGAAATCCTATCTCTAAATAATAAAAAATAAAATAAAATAGCTTGGAATGTAGCTCAGTGTAAAGCCCCTAAGTTCAACCCTGAGTGCCATTAATAAATAAATAATCTTCCATATTTCTCCTATAACTTATCCAATGGAATCTAAATATCATGATTTGATGTTTTGACTCTTTACTAAAAATATACACAAATATACCCATTTTTTAAAAGCCAAATATTTTATACTGTTAATTTTCCTTCAGTTTGCATTTCCATTCCATTTCACCCATACAATTTCATTCTAACTGTAATATATTTATATATATTTAAATCTTTTATTGTTTTCAGGGGAAAATAGGTAGATAGATAAGCAGATAGATGTGTATACATCTGTATATTTTTTATTTCCTATGGGTAAGCCTCTATATGTTAAAATTTTGTCTTGCTGTGCCGGCCCCACCCCCAGGGTATGCTGAGACAGAGATCAAGACTGGGCATGGTGGCATGTGCTTGTAATCCCAGCTCTTGGGAGGCTGTAAACAGGTAGATCACTGAGTCCAGTCAGATCTAGTAGTGAGACCCTGAACACCCTGTAGACCTTCCCTAAAATACAAAAAAAAAAAAAAGAAATAAAATTTTGTCTATGTGGATTATCATTAGAATTTATCAAAAGGGCCTGGGGATGTAACTCAGCAGCACAAGCACCTGCCTGGCAAGCACAAGGTCCTGAATTCGATCCCAAGTACCAAAAAAAAAATCATTATAATAGCATATATATTTAAATTTTAATAATTCTATAAATGACAAAGTAAACATCTTCATTGGAAATTTAGCAATTAAATGGATAGACTTTTCTTTTTGATCTGTCATTTTTCTGATATTTTCATTTTATACAACTATTGAATGGGCAGATTTTCTGTTTGATGACCATTTGCAAGATTTGAGCATACATTTTTATTTCTTTATTTTTTGCCAGCTCAGCCCATCCTGAGGGTGGGGCTGGTTTGGCATATGGGATTGAACCACGGTCTCCTGCATCTGCCTATGCTTGCCTAAGCAGGTGTTTTAGACTGCTGAGCTATCTCTCCAGCCCTTGAGCATACATTTTTAAAGCATATTTATAACCATTTTCCATGGACAGTGCCCAGGGCTTGTTTTCCCCATGACCGCATGAGGCTTTGGGCAGACGTCCAGCCACAAGCCACACCGCCCGATTCTGGTACACAGGACTGTGGCTCACTCCCAGCAACCTGCTAGAAGCCTCCTGTTCTCACCCCCTTCTGCCCAGGATGCAGCTTCCTCCTACCTGCTATGACTGTCCACCAAGCCTGTACAGTTACTTCTAGCTCTCACTGTTGCCAGTACAACCAACTCCCTTTTCCCCTTTCTGCATTCTCATCTCCTTATTGTGGGAGCCCTCTTGTGGCCCTAGACGATAAACCCCTCTTACCTTGTCTCTGTCATTTCTATCAGACCTAGTGAATCTTCACTGCTCATCTCTCACCAGGTGGAATCCAAGTAACAAGGAACTCTAGAGTCTCGACAGTGAAGCTTTTAGAGAGAAGTACCCAAACTGCAACCCTAAACCCACTTATTTATCGTGAAGTGCCAACACTGCAATTAACCTTGAATACTAAGGATTTAGTTTAGAAAAAGCAGCTCACACATGAATATCTTTTGTCTTTAAAGAAAAAACAACGCGAGTGTCATGGGTTCACCATCACTGCACTAGAATCTGCAACCATTATACTCAAGATTACCTTTTTTTTCTTGTTGCTTATCGTTGCCTGAAGCTGTCATTTCTTTGGAATGTGCCTCTTTCTTGTCATTCACCATGACTTCCTCAGGTGAAAAGAGCATGTATAACTTATGAATCAAATCAGTAACAATCCCAGAATTATTGCGGTTGTTCCCTAATTCAAAGAAATGTTCCTGGGAACCAAAGTGACCAAAGAGGCCACTGTCTTCTGTCTCTATGTCATACACCTCAGGAATAAGTCTAAAGTGATGAAGGAAAAAGATGAAAGATTGGTTAGCCAAGTCCCTTGCAAGATTAAATGTAAATACAACCAGTCAAGAAAACAGTAATCTATTTCATGCATGATGTTGGGCAAGTCTAAGAGTATTTTGCAGTTAGAGTGCAACCAAGGGACAATTTCCTAATATTTTGAAGAGAAATTGAACATTTTCTCAACAGTCTAGGACTCCAAACCAACATTGTTTCCATCACTGAAGTTTTATGGAGTACTGGGATTGTACTTTTAAAGTCAGTCTTGAAAGAATCCTTTCTGCTAGTCTTCATATATGTTATGTTTTCTAAATATAAAAGTTCTTGTTCAGTTTTCTTTTTGGTGTTTTTCTTCTGCTCCAATCTTTTTTCTTTTTTTTTTTTT